ATAGTAGTTTTGTAAGGCCATCGGCGGCCTAATAATTAGTTTTTATATAGAAAAATTTAATAGCGCCGGATTAAACTTATTCACGTAGAAAATAATATTAAATATTAATATACTTCGAGCGGGCGTGAAATTCAGGGTTTTTTGTAAAAATAATAGCGCCCTGATTATTTGTATAAATTATTATAAAAATAAGAATAAAAATATTAGTGGTGTTATAGTAATAAATATTTATTTTTAAAAAAAAATGAATCTAGATAAGTTCCTGAACCGCATAAGATTAAGAGATATATTTAAATTTAGTAAAGGAGAGAAATATAATTATCTATTTTTTAAAAGATTATAAAATAAGTATTCTTTCTGGTAAGAGTAAATATATATCTAGATATAGATTTTAAGGTGTTAGAATAAGAGTTTACTTAATTAATATTACAGAACCCCTGTAGGCCTCTATTTTTTTTATTAAAAAATAGGATATAGTTAATGGTTACAGAGAGATAACAGTAAATATATTTAATAATAGTAAAATATACTTTACCGGGGTTCCGAGCGAATCAGGCGAGTTTAACTATAGTAAATATAATATTAAGACGAGTGCTAATTATAATCTATATAAGATAACTAATTATAACTTAAAATAACTTTATTTTAATATATTTTATATTAATATTAGAGGGGGTCAGCACGACCTTTTTATTATAAGGGATAAATACCGGATTATAGAAGATAAGACTAAAATAGTACAGAGAATTAAAAATATAGTTTTTTTAAACTAAAATAATTTTATTATTATAATAAATAATATCTATACTAAAAAAATACTTTACCGGACTATTATTAACAGTTTTAAATATTTTTATAAGTTTTTTTTTAAAAGATTCGATCTCCGCGAGGTTCTCTCCGAGAATAAAAATATTATTAATATAAATTAGTGCATAAAAATAACCGCGGATAAAAATAGAATAATTTATATAAATATAGATAAAGCCAGCACCCTACAGGATTCCGGAGAAAAGGTTGTATTATTTTTAGGATAATTATTTAAGGCTATATATTATTTTTATAAGTAGATTATATTTATTATTTTATATATAGCCCTCCCGGAGATTAATAAATATTAATTCTTTAAGATTAGTATAAAAAAAAATAATAATTATATCTAAATAATGGAGTAATAAATATTATTTTTTAATAAGGCGGACCCCGGATATAATTTTTTAATAAAGTTAATAAATAAAATTAATTCTGATGATTAAAATAAGATTCTGATTAAGCGAAATAATTAAGACCCGGGCTTATAACCTGTGAGCGTGCTAGTGATAAAGTATGTGTATTCCTATCTGCAAGGACGAGATATCCCTAGTTATGAAGAAGCCACTGTGGGCGGCACTAAGCTACATTAGGCAATGGAAGCGAGGGAGGAGCGCTGAGTATGATCAACAAACCGCTTTCCCAAATAGGCAAATGGCTGTCCCGCTAGCTTTATGCTGGCTGTCCCGTTATAATGCCTCAAGATATACTTGCACGTTAATCTTAGTAAATAATAAGCTAATATAGCTCTAATTATTAATATTAGGAAAGAATATGTTAAATATAATAATTTTGGTTATTTAAAATTTTGTTTTACTAATTCCCTATATAATAATAAGAGGATTAATATTTTAAATATTAAAGTTTAATCTTTTAGTAAATTATTTATTTATAATAATTAATAAACAACTAGTATCTAAATATATATTATAAAAATTTGTTATAATATTTAAACTAACTTTAGCAGTAGTATATCGCTATATATAAATATTATTTACATATAAATTAAGACTGATTTAATTGTCCTGTCTATTTGATTTAATAATATTAATAAACAATATATTATAAATAATAAATATATTTTAAAGCTATAAAAATTCAAAATAGTTAAATAAATATTAATATAAAATATTATTAAATCCGAATATTAATTAGTACTTAAAATATATAATAATAATAAGCAGGGTTCCTGGCTCCGCTAAGTTAAGTAAATATTATTAATTTTATTTTTATATGTATTAAATAAATTAGAAGATATATTAATAAAATACTAACTAATTAAATAGCTTATTATAGCCGGGATTAATCTTTAATCTAAAATTATTAGATAATTTACTATAATATACTTAATTATTATTTCTGAAACCTTTATAATTATCATTATAATTATTTAATAATATAAATAGTTAATTATAGTTACTAAAGCAGTTACTAAGTGGATTACTAGTTAACTTAACACTATATACATAGTTATAAGGAGATTAATTATTATTTATATAATTTACTTGATAATTGATTAAAAGTAATTAATAAAAATTTTAGTTATTTTATTATCTCTAATTCTGATTATTTTACTAGAATTAATATTAAAAATTAGAGTTTAGCTAATAATATTACTACCAGAATAGTTATTAATAATTAAATTAATAACTTAACCAGTAGTTTAACAAACTAGCTATTTAATTATAATTTATTAAACTAATAATTAGTACTATAGTTTTGAATTTAATAGTAACCTTAATTAAGACTATATAATATAGGATTATTATATAAAATAAGATTATAAGAATTACTAGAAACACCAGTTTAATAAGCTTGCTGATATTAATAATTATTAATAAAATTTTATTATAAAAACTAATTATCTTCTAACTTTTATAAAAGTGTTACGACCACCTGCGCAGTGCGGATGACGTCAGCCGCAGTGCGGCGCCCAATACGGATAGGGCATTATAGTAGGGCACGCACTGTCACGTGACCCTCCCGCAGTGCGGAACCCAGCACCACGCAGTACGGTAGGGCTCACTTAGGTAGGGCCCTTCTGGGTCATGTGACTCTACCAGGGGTTAAAACCCCGCTGTATTGCTAGTATAGAAAACTAGTAATTAGTTTTATTTATAGGTATCTCTATAATATAACTCTGTATTACGTATTTATTATATTGTTTATAATCTTTATAGACCCCGGTCTAATAGTTTTAATTGCTCGAATTAAGTAGATAGCCTGATTAAATCACGTATAACAGATTCTAAGATATTTTAAGATACAAACCCTTCTCCAAATCCTTTAAACCCTTTTTAAAATCCTTTAAATCTGTAAGATGCGGCTTAAGAAGTAATAATATTAACTCTTATTATGGCTGACAGGCCCCTTATCTTTTACGCACCTGCGGAAAATAACACGCAGGATGTTACTTAAACCGTACTAAAGGAGTACTTTACGGCGGATATTGATATTTTTTTAGCTGAAGCGCGCGCGAAAGAGGCGCGGATAGCTAAATAAGAAGAACTTACTATACTATATTATTATATTATAGAGCGCTAATACCGCATATAGTAATAATAATATAAATATAAAAAATATAATAATAATTTTAATTAATGTGTTAAGGACTTCCTGGCCTTTACTAAAAGCTTGGATCTAATATTTGTATTTATAAAAGATTATACCCTAATACAGGATATTTTATTTAGTATAATAATTATATTACCTGTAGTATAGATAATAACTATGAAAGTATTATTATCCCCTAGTAATCTTTAATCCTTTTTAGTAAAATTACTCCTATAATATTAAATTTTTATAAACTAATTGCGCGCTTATTTCTCTGAATATTATAAATAATTTATTAATAATTACCGCAGGATGGCCTGCGCGGTAAAATACTTAAATACTAAATACCTGGATATTTAGTTTTAAAAAATAGCTGGGTTTATAATTAACTGTATCTGGGTAGAGTTCGAAAACTTTTACTAATAATATATTAATAATCTATACTTTTTAAAACGTAAATGCGCCCTGGATTATAAATATATCTGGTAAAAAAAGTCCTAGACTATTATTAATTTTATAAATTATCTTTTATTTTTAGAGAACTAGATAATACTATAGTATAATAAAGATTACTAGAAAATCTATTTTTATACTAAGCTCTAACCCGCACTATAATGCGAGTACTAATATATTAGGTCGGGATTAATAAAATATAATAATTATATTGTTTATTTATAGAGTATAAAAAATATCCTACTAGAATACCAAAAATAATTATAGAACACACACAGGGAAAGGACCGGGAATATTAAGCCAGTTATAAAAAATATATAGTAAGGCTCTAATAATTAATATGTAAGATCTAATAAATAAAAAACTCTAGGAAGCTTCCTGAGAAGTAACGATTAATTAAACTATAATAATTATAATAAATTAGGCTATTAAGCTAGTAAGTGTTAGTTAATAAAGTCTGGAAATAACCCTAATATAGTAAAAGCTAATAATTTTGTGTTAAAAAAATAAACAGACTAGCGCTAAATGTTATTATAGCTTTAGATTTATAATAAAAAATTAAAAATAATAAAATAATATTAGATATTATTATTAGTACTGCGGCTGGTCTAATACAGGTAAAATATTTATTAAATAGTAATATAAAATCTAGCTTTATTAGTTAAAAATAGGCTAAGATATACTTATCTAATATTAAAGGCCTAGTGCGGCCTGTTAAGATAATTAACAGGACTATAATTTATTCTTATAAAAACTATAATTTAAGTCTTAGTATTACGGATAGTACAGGCGTATTATATAACTAAAGTAAGATTTTTAACGCTGTTAATATAAAAAATTATAATATAATCCTTAGGTTTCTATGGCTGCGAGCTACAAACTCTGATATATACTAGATTAAGCTAGAATAGTTTTATTATAATACAGATATTATAAAAGACCAGATTAAAGTTATTTTCTTTTAAGCTTGTGCCGTAGCTGTGATTTATAGTATACTTATATATATTCTAATAATTAAGGAAATACTAGAGGGCGCCTTATTATAATTTAAGGTAATATCTGTAGATAGAATACCTGTAGAATTCGCGGATTATACTAATATTTTTTCTGAAGAAAAAGCTAGTATCCTTATCCTGTACTATAATTATAATCATATAATTAATATATAATTAGGTATATAACCCCTGTATAGGCTGATTTATCTCTTATCAGAGAAAAAACTAGAAATCCTCAAACAGTATATTAAAGATATACTGCAGAAAGGCTGGATTAAATTATTAAAAAGTTTTATAGGAGTATTAATCTTTTTTACCCTAAAAAAGAATAACAGATTTTATTTTTATATTAATTACAGGGGCCTTAATATAATTATTATTAAAAATTATTATTCTTTATTTTTAATTAGCAAGATTATTAACTAATTAAAAAATATTAAGGTTTTTACCTAATTAGACCTGCGAGATGCTTACCATAGACTGTGTATTTAAAAGAAAAATAAATAGTTAATAGTATTCTGTATTAGATATAGATATTTTAAATATTAAATTATATTATTTAGGTTAGCTAACATATCTGCAATATTCTAATTATATATTAATCGCGTAATAAGTAACTTGTTTAATATATGTTGTGTGATCTATTTAAATAATATTTTAATTTACTCCTAGAATAATAAAAAATATATATATTATATGTGAGAAGTATTAAAAAGGCTTTATATCTATAAATTATATATAAAGCTTAGTAAGTGTGCCTTCCGCATAAATATAGTCAGATTCCTGGGGTTTATTATTAATCCTGTAAGAGTGTCTATAAAAAAAAAAAAGTAAAAACTATTAAAAAATAGCCCGCACCTAAAAGCGTATGTGATATCCAAATATTTTTTAGGTTTACTAACTTTTACTACAGGTTTATTAAAGGATACTTGAAGATTACTGTATTCTTAAATAAAATAATTAAAGATGCTTAAAATTTAAAATACTAGAGAAAATAAAAACTTAAGCTAATCTTTAAAGCATAAGATAGTTTTAATATATTAAAAGCTAAATTTATAAAAATATTATTATTATAGTATTTTAATCTTAGTAAAGAATTAAGGATCAAATCTAATATATCTGAATATATAATTATAGGGATTTATACATAACTCTAAAATAATAAAATATAATATCTTATAGCTTTCTGGTCAAGAAAGCTGCAGAGTATAGAAATATATTATAAAACATATAATAAAGAGATACTTATAATTATTAAAAGTTTTAAATACTAGAAGTACTATCTGGAAAAAAGCAGATATCTTATTACAGTACTATCTGACTATACTAATTTATAGTATTTTATAATAACTAAAAAATTAATAAGATATTAGGCAAGATAGGTAGAAAGACTTACTATATTTAATTTTATTATTAAGTATTATCCTAAGATAAAGAACCCCGTAGATATACTGAGCTATTATTTAGACTATAAACTAAAAAAAGATAAAATTATATAAAAATCTATATTACTAGTTCTTCAGAAAAAATTATAAGCTAATCTAAAAAAAATAAAAGATAAAACCCTGTATCTGCTAGCTATATCTAGTATATTTAAGTTAGAGGAGTTAAAAACTTCTAATATTACTAGTATCTGCGGCTAAACTAATCTTACAGATAAAGGTTATACTAATAATAATATAAGAATTCCGGATATTCTAGTGCTATAGCTTATAGTTTATATAGTTATAAAGTCTAAAATAGCATACTTAGCTGATATTATAAAACTAATAACTAAGCTATTATAGAAGATTTAAAATAAAAATAATTTTTTTTGTTATATTCAGAATTATATTTATTAAAAAAATCCTAAACAGCTATATGACCTGTTCTAGCATATATTTAAAAATAGACTAGTTAGATTTTAAAACCATATATTTATCCTAAATATCACTGTAATGCGGCAGAAGATTATAAAGATTAATTATAATAATTTATAAAAAAAGTATCTCTAGAAAAAATATATCCTAAAAAGTATCCAGTAGTGTTATTATTAGTATGATATATACCGGAAAATCAGGGAATATATATAGTAGTATATAAGGTGTAAATAAATTATCATACATAGGTATAAATTATATAATTATCTTAAGGCCCTACTAGTGCCTATAAGACCTCTAAACTAGATTAGTATAGACTTTATTACCAGGCTGCCACTATCTAGGTAGTATAGAGAAGTATATAACTTTATACTGGTTGTGGTAGATTTATTCTCTAAATATATATAATATTTACTAATTATAAAAAACCTTATTGTATCTAAGCTAGTAACCCTATTATATAACTGTATATACTCTGTAATAAGGATACTGGGGAATATTGTGAGTAACAGAGGATCTCTTTTTATAAGTAAATATTAATTAATCTTATATTATCTTCTTATAATATATTAATACTTATTAATTATATATTATCCCTAAACAGACAGCCAGACTAAATAATAGAATTAAATATTAAAATATTTTCTCTATATATATACATGTTAATAGCAAGATAATTAGACTAGGTGGCTACCACTAGCTTAGTTATACTATAATAATATAATATATACTATTACAAAAGTAGCTCTAAGCACTATATTTATAGGTTTTAAGAATAAAATACAGATTAATATTAAAATTAAAAATAATATAGTAACTAATATATTTACAGAAGAAAAAATCAGGGAACTTTAGAAAATATAAGTATACTTAATAAAAAAGTTTTAATAAAGTAAGAAAATTATAATATATATATAATAAAAAATATATTGCCTATATCTATAAGGTTAATAATTAGGTTATAATCTATACTAAAAATATATAAACTGGCAGATTATCCAAAAAGATTAATAATAAGTAAATTAGATCTTTTAGAATTATTAACAGATCAGGAAAATAGGCTTATATACTGTAATTACTACTAAGATTTAAATAGCTATATTTAATATTTTATATATTATTACTCAAACCTGCAGACATATTAAAGAAAATAAATAATATTAGAGATAATATAAACATAGGAGAAGATATAGAGTAATTAATAGAATTAATCCTGAAAAATAAAAAGATCTATAATATAATAAAATATTTTATTAAATAACAGTATTAGCCAGTAAAAGACGCTATATAGGAACTAGTAAAAAATATTAAAAATATATAAACACTAGATATCTACTTTTTAGAGTAGCAGCTGTAGCCTATAAAGATTATAAAAAAAAAAGATCCTAAAAAAAATAAAAATAATATTTATTTAATACAGAGCATCCCGTCAAAACAGTTAATTATATATAAAAAAAAAAAACCCACCTACCCACTTTTTTAACAAAATAATTAACCTTATAAAAAGTTCTTAAACCTTTTAATTATAAAAAAGGGGGGCTCCTAGGGGGTAGTATTAGAAAATAGAATATATAATATTATTATATTATTTATTCTATCTTTAATCCTTCCAGCAGGCCCCGCCTTCACAGGTTTGCGTATAATAATATTAATCTGCCGAACTGCGTCCTAAAGGATACCCTAATTATACTAGTTATTAGAGATAATAAAGATATTAGCAGCCTAAATAATATAACAGGCAAAAAAAACAGTAATAGTAGAGACCTATACTTATATTAGCTAAAATTTTAGGAGTGTAGTACACTTAAAAAAGGATATTTATAAAATAATAAATAAAATAATTACAGGTATCTCTGCCGCGGTTTTATAACTAATAATAATAGTATAAGATTATATTTTTATTAAATACGCAACCGGCCTCAGGCCGGCGCGTTAAGGCGTGTATATAATATTAATATTACTCGGCCCCTAAAAAGATAATAATAGCAGTAATCTTAGTCTCGCGCGCGAGCTTAGTATTAATTTTGGTCTTTTAAACTATAATAGCAGTGGTGGCGGCGGTCTTACGCTCGGTGATGGTAGTGTCGTGAGCGCTAGGGGCGAGGGGCGCGGGGATAGCGCGGAAGTAGCGGTATATAATAATATAAGAATTATACTAATAACGCTTGTGTGTGGTAGGGATAACTATTTTCTAGTTAATTTGTTAGTATAGTGCCCCAGGTATTAGTGTAATATAGTTATTAGGCGGAAAAGCGCGGTAGAACTAGTGTGTAAGTAGTCGGGCGGAACTATATAGCAGAAACTATTGTATATGCTAAGGTAAAATTAGTAGACAGAATCTTACACATGTGTGATGGTGGTATTACGCGGCAGAATCTTTTATAGTATAGGAGCGGATAAAATAGCTAATAATTTTTATACTGCGGACCTGTAGTACTGTAATATATAAAGGGAAAAAATAAAAGAAATAATAAGAATTAATATAGAATTAGATACTAAATTTACTCTGAAAAAATAAAAGGAAATAAGAAAAAAATAAAGAAAATATACAGGGAGAAAGGTGAGGTGTGACTAATATAAGTATGATAAGGCGGAGGATTATAAATTATAATAATATTTTTAATAGCGCATAGCACCCACACTAGATAGATTTTGAAGCTGAAAATTAGAGAGAATATATAAAAAAATTAAATAAAGCTGTAGTGAGAGTTTAATAATAATTAAAAAGGAAATAGGGTGGAGCAGGAATAAAATTAATTTATAAATTAATTAATACAGATTAACTAGAGAGAAGAAAGAAGAGAAAAAATCCTCTGTATTGCGAGAAATCTTTTATATAAGTAATTATCGCGTACTTACTATCTGAAGACTATTACAACAAACTACGAACACTTAACTACTGGTGCGAAAAAAAAATTACTGTATTAGATAATATATAACTCGTCGATGTGGGAACTAATAAGAGTGTAATACAGCTACGGGAGATCCCGCTAAGCTATACCGGGTGGGTAACTATAATATAGCTATATAATACGCCTTAGGCAACTACCACTAGCCACTGTATGTAATATATGATTATTTTAGGCATCTAGGGCCGCGAGGGCATACTCTGTAAAGGAAGAAGATAATTATTATAATCACCTGCGTAGTGCGGATAATGTCAGCTGTAATATGGCGTCTAATATGGATAAGGCACTATAATAGGGTATGTATTGTCACGTGACCCTCCCGCAGTGTGGAATCCAGCACCGCGCAGTGCGGTAAGGCTTACTTAGGTAGGGCTCTCCTGGGTTATGTGACTCTACCGGGGGTTAAAACCCTGCTATATTACTGGTATGGGAAACCAGTAATTAGTTCTATTCATAGGCACCCCTATAATATAACTCCGTATTGCGTATTCATCACGTTGTCCACAACCCCTATAGACCCCGGTCTAACAAAAAGTTTAATACAGATTATTATTTTAATTAGATAAGTTATATCTCTCTAAAGTTAAGGGTCTAATATATTATAAATTATTTTAATATATTAATATTAATTTTTAATCTTAATATTCCGGGCGTGTTA